CCAGATCCATCCAAGAAATCACTATCTGTAGCAGCTGTAGCCTTACAAAATATATTCCTTAAGCAATAAGAATTGAAAGTTGAAATAACTCCTTGATTTATGGGCTGCCGAGTGGATGTTGTGTCAGCAGGCATGAAAAGAACACTCATTGTCCATCTCCATCAGAGCTCTTGGGCGACCAGGCACATTGTCAGTGAGCAGTCATACTTTGAGAGGAATCTTTTCTTCTGAGCAGGTCCCAAGAGTGGTCTTAAAATATTCAGAAAACCATGTTGTAAACAAATGTCCTGTCATACAAGCTTCATTGTTCCTTCTACAGAGCACAAGCAGAGTAGATTTAGCATCATTCTTAAGGGCCCTAGGATTTGGGGGATGGGAAATGAGCACTGGCTTCAACTTCCAGCCACCAGCTGCATTAGCCCCCAACAAGACGGTCTGCCTGTCCTTTGAAGTTTTGGATCTATGCATTGATTTCTCTTTTCTAGCTATGAAAGTTCTAGATGACCTCTTCTTCCAAAAGAAGGCTGTTTTGTGTACACTGAAAATCTGCTGTTTAGTGCAGCCCCCTTCCTCAATGATCCTGGCTGGATCTTCCAGATACCTTGCTGCAGCTTCTCCATCAGCACTTGCTGCTTCACTGTGCACGATGATGTTATGGAAACAACTTTTTCCTTAAACTTGTGAACCAACCTCTGCTGGCTTCAAGCTTTTCTCAGGCGGCTTCCTCGCCTCTCTCAGCCTTCATAGAATTGAGAGTCAGGGCCTTGCTCTGGATTAGGCTTTGGCTTAAGGGGAATGTCGTAGCTGGTTTCCTCTTCCAGAGAGTCCAGACCACTCGTGCTTTCTCCCTATCAGCAAGAAGGCTGTTTCGCTTTCTTATCATTAGTATGTTCACTGGGGGAGCACTTTCAATTTCCTTCAAGAACTCTTCCTTTGCGTTCACAGCCTGGATAACTGTTTGGTGCAAGAGGCTGAGCTTTTGTCCTTCTCGGCTTTGGACATGCCTTTCTCACTAAGCTTAATCATTTCTGGCTTTTGTTTTTGTTTTTGTTTTTTATTATGTTCAGTTAGCCAGGATATAGTACATCATTAGTTTTTGATATAATGTTCAGTGATTCATTAGTTGCATATAACACCCAGTGCTCATCACAATACGTGCCCTCCTCAATAACCATCACCCTGTTACTCCCTCCCCCTACCCCCTTTCCCTTCTGAAACCCTCAGTTTGTTTCCCAGGGTCCATAGTCTCTCATGGTTCATCTTCCTCTCTGATTTCTCCCCCTTCAGATTTCCCTCCCTTCCCTTGTGGTCCTCTGTGCTATTGCTTATGTTCCACGTATGAGTGAAACCATATGATAATTGTCTTTCTTTGCTTGACTTACTTCACTTAGCATAATCCCCTCCAGTTCCATCCATGTCGATGCAAATGGTGGGTATTCATCCTTTCTGATGGCTGAATAATATTCCATTGTATATATGAACCACATCTTCCTTATACATTCATCTTTTGAAGGACATCTTGGCTCTTTCCACAGTTTGGCTATTGTGGACATTGCTGCTATGAACATTGGGGTAAATGTGCCCCTTCTTTTCACTACGTCTGTATCTTTAGGGTAAATACCTAATAGTGCATTTGCTGGGTCATAGGGTAGCTCTATTTTTAACACCTTGAGGAAACTCCACACTGTTTTCCAGAGTGGCTGCACCAGCTTGCATTCCCACCAACAGTGTAAGAGGGTTCCCCTTTCTCCACATTCTCGCCAACATTTGTTGTTTCCTGTTTTGTTAATTTTTGCCACTCTAACTGGTGTAAAGTGGTATCTCATTGTGGTTTTGATTTGTATTTCCCTGATGGCTAGTGATATTGAGCTTTTGATTTAAAGTGAGAGATGTAGGACTCTTCCTATGCTTGAACATGTAGAGGCCACTGCAGGGTTATTAATTGGCCTCATCTCAACATTTTTGTGCCTCAGGGAACAGGGAGGCCTAAGGAGAGGGAAAGATATGGGGAACAGCCGGTCAGTGGAGCAGTCAGACGCACACAGAATTTGTCAACTAAGTTCACCATCTTATATGGGTGCAATTTGTGGTGCCCCAGAAACAATTACAATAGTAACATCACAGATCACTGGTCACAGATGACCATAACAAATATAATAATAATGACAAAGTTTGAAATATTGCAAGAATTACCCAAATAGGACACAGAGACACAAAGTGGGCACATGCTTTTGGAAAAATGGCACCAAGAGACTTTCTTGGGGCAGGGCTGCCACAAAACTTCAATTTGTAATAAATGCAATATGTGGGAAATGCAGTAAAGTGAATCACAATAAAACAAGGTAAGCCTGTATTCCATTGTTGGGGTGTCATGATTTATTTATCCATGTACCTGCCGAAGGACATCTTGGTTGCTTTCAAGTTTTGGCAACTATGAGTAAAGCTGCTGTAAACATCCGTGTGAAGGTTTTTTTGAGGACATAAGTTTTCAGCTCATTTGGGTAAATACCAAGGAGCATGACTGCTAGATAGTATAGTATGTTTAGTCGGGTTTTTTTTTTTTTTAAACACTTTATTGAGGTACGATTGACAGACAAAAAAGCTGTACATAGTTGATGTGTACAAATTGATGAGTTTGTAGATAAGTATGCATCCATGAAATTGTCACCACAATTTATATTATGAAAACATCGATCACCTCCAAAAGTTTCCTCTTGCCTTATTTATTTATGTGTTATAAGAACACTCCCTATAAGATCTATCCTCTTAACAAAATTTTGAGTATACAATACAGTATTGTTAACTATAGGCTCTATGCTGTCCGGTGGACCTCTAGGGTTTATTTACCTTGTATAACTGAAATTTTGTAAGCTTTAATTAATACCCCTCCATTTCCCCCTCCTCCTAGCCCCTGGCAACCACCATTCCACTCTCTGATGCTGTGAGTCTATTTTAGATTCCTCATATAAGTGGTATCATGTAGTATTTGTCCTTCTCTGTCAGCTTTATTTCACTTAGCATAATGTCCTCTATACTGTTGCAAATGGCAAGGTTTCCTCCTTTTTAAGGGTGAATGATATTCCATTGTATGTATGTTTCACCCTTTCTTTATCCATCTGTCCATCAATAGACATTTAGGCTGCTTAGCTATATGTCTTAGCTATTGTGAATAACACTGCAATGAACACGGGAGTGCAGATATATCTTCAAAATCCTGATTTCAGTTCCTTTGGATATATACCCAGAAGTAGGATTGCTGAGTCATATGGTAGTTCTATTTTTAATTTTTTGAGGAACCTCCATACTGTTTTCCGAGTGGCTGTACCAATTTACATTCCCACCAACCATGTAGAATATGTTTAGTGTAATAAGAAATTTCCAAACTGTTTTTGCAAAGTGACTGTACCATTTTGCATCCCCACCAGCAATGAATGAGAGTTCCTATTGCTCCGTATCCTCACCAGCATTTGCTGTTGTCAGTACTTTGAATTTTGGTCATTCTAAAAAGCATGCAGTGGCATTTCATTTTTATTTTAATTTGCAACTTTCTAGTGGTGTATTATGCTTAGTATCTTTTCATATGCTAATTTGCCATTTTATATATCCTCCTTGATGAGGTATCTGTTCATATATTTTGCCCATTTTTTAACATTTATTTATGACTTGTTTTTATTTTTTTATTATTATGTTCACTTAGCCAACATATAGTACATCATTAGTTTTCGATGTAGTGTTCAACGATTCATTAGTTGCGTATAACACCCAGTGTTCATCACAACACATGCCCTTCTTAATACCCATCACCTGGTTACCCCGTCCCCCCACCCCCTCCCTTCTGTAACCCTCAGTTTGGTTCCTGGAGTCCAGGGTCTCTCATTGTTTGGCTCCCTCTCTGATTTCCTCCCATTCAGTTTTCCCTCCCTTCCACTGTGGTCCTCCACACTATTCCTTATGTTCCATATATGAATGAAACCATATGATAATTGTCTTTCTCTGCTTGACTTATTTCACTTAGCATAATCGCCTCCAGTTCCATCTATGTCGATGCAAATGGTGGGTGTTCATCCTTTCTGATGTATTTTGCTCATTTTTTGGTTGGGTTGTTTGTTTTCTTCTTATTGACTTTTAAGTGTTCTTTGTTTATTTTGGCTAACAGCCTTCATCAGATATGTCCTTTGCGAACATTTTCTCCCAGTCTGTGGCTCATCTTCTTATTCTCTTGATGACTTTTTTGTAGGGCAGAAGCTTTAGTTTTAATGAAGTCTAGTTTATCAAGTATTTCTTTCATGGATCCCCATCACTTTTTATATCATGTCTAGAGGAGGTGAGATCCTTGGTCTGAGGGTCCAGTCACCAGTCAGCCGAAGGTGTGTGTGGGGGGGTGGGGCAGTCCACAAACCTGTGTGGTGTCCAAATGAGGACCCTGAATGAGGACCCTGAATGGATACTTAGGACCTAGCAACCCCAATACAGAGAGGTCCCCACAGAGCTATAAGCACTGAGTGCCTCCTGGTAAGGGTGGTGGCCTAAGGTACATTACTCACTTCTTTCTCATGGGTCCCAGGGAGCTTTAAGGAATCAATCTCAGTGTAGCAGAGAGAAAGGGTTCGAAGTCTTGACAAAAGTTATTATAATAATTTGGAAGGTAAACATAGAGGACCCCTTGCCACGTTAGAACACATGTGGCCCCACTACCAGCCATGCTGTCACACTAGTCAGTAAAGGACAGGGCTAGCAGGCTATAGCCTAAGGCTCACTTTGTCTCCAGTAGCTTCTCAGAGCAGGCTGAAGGAGAACAGGAGCCTTGTAGGTTCCTAGAGAGTGTCCTCAAGAAAACCTGCTGAGGTTAAAGCCAAGGTGGAATGTCCCTGTTGTAGGTTCACACACCATCCCATTGTCCCTCCTCCAGGCGCCCTCATCGCCCACTGTCCAGCCTGCTGTTCGTGAGCACAGAGTCATCATTCCTCAGTATCAGAAGAGTAAGTTCAACAACACGAGAAATGCCACTAGGCCTGAGGTAAGACCCAGGATCTCGAGGGGGCTTAGGCCACTGCAGCAAAGAGTCCCCCCTCTCCTCCTCTGTTTTGGGGATGCTCCCTCAGATTGCCGTATTGCTGGCATTGCTGGGAGCCTCAGAGATCCCTACTCACCATTATTACTTCTGCAGCTGTTTCATGCATGAGGTCTGAACGAGGTGTCAAGAGCCACGATGAGAAAGTGCAAGTTGCTCTGAAGCCCCAACCTCTGCTGAGAGCTCACTGGAACATTCCCTATCCAGGACATGAGCATGTGGGCACACTTCCTGCTGGAGAAGCATGCAGTGAGGGCGCCCATTATGCAGGCCGCACTGCTGACAGTCGTCAACAAAAGGCACAGGGAGCACTTCCCCGAGATCCTCAGGAGAGCCTCCGAGCGCGTGGAGCTGGTCTTTGGCCTAGAATTAAAGGAAGTCAAGCCAGGCAGTCACTCCTATGCCCTCGTCAGCAGCCTAGACCTCACCAGTGACGGCAGTGTGAGCAGCATCTCGGGCTTTCCTAAGAATGGGCTTCTCATGCCTCTTCTGAGTGTGATCTTCTTGAATGGCAACCGCGCCTCTGAGGAAGATATCTGGGGATTCCTGAATATTTTGGGCATCTACGATGGAAGGAGGCATTTAGTCTTTGGGGAGCCCAGGAAGCTCATCACCCAAGATTTGGTGCAGGAAAAGTACCTGGAGTACCGCCAGGTGGCCAACAGTGATCCTCCACGCTACGAGTTCCTGTGGGGCCCGAGGGCCCATGCTGAGACCAGCAAGATGAGAGTCCTAGAGTTTTTGCTAAGGTCATGGCCTTCCCATTCCATTATGAAGAGGCTCTGCGAGATGAGGAAGAGCGAGCCCGAGCCTGAGCCGCAGCCGGGGCTGCCTCTACTACCAAGGCCCGGGCACATACCCAGGCCGCCCACCCCGCCCAGCCGTTCCTCTCGTCCCTAGACCGGGCTAAGGCAGATTCTTCGCTTTGTGGTTAACAAAGGCAGTTGGCTAACTAGTGGAGGGCCCAGGTGGGGTGCATAGGAACACAAAGTGTAACACACTCGTGTTCCTGTACAGTGCATAAATTGGAGATGTTTCTTTTTCTTCCTATTTTAAATGGCTTTCCTTTCAATTAAAGGTTTATTTAGCTTCAGAATCCAAGTTGATGAATGACATGGGTTATACATTTCTTGGAGTTTATCAGTTGAAAAATAAGAATTTTAGTATTTTGTAAAACAAATTGAAACCCTTGAATCGTTTCTTGTCATTCAGAACTAGGTAACATTTAATTTAATATTCTTTAATTGCCCAAATATTAATTTAGCCCTTGCTCTTTGGAAGGCTCCTGGCTAGTACTGGGGATGATAAGAAAAATAGGCCCAACCCCTGCTTACAAAACTGTGGAGTCTAAGAGCAGCTCTCATATAAAAAATACGTGGTGAGATACTCCCTAAGATGAAAAGGACTAGTAAAAATAAGGAGTAAAAAGGAGGGAGGGGGCCTCCAGATGAGGAGTTTTAGTGTAAAATGCCCCAAGGCAAGGCAGATTGAGCCTTTGGGCAGCTGAAAGCCCTGTGATAGGAAGTAATTTTTTTAAAAACTTATTTGTCATAGAGAGAGAGAGCACAAGCAGGGGGAGTGGCAGGCAGAGGCAGAGGGAGAAGCAGATTCCCTGCTGAACAGGGAGCCCGATGCGGGGCTGGATCCCAGAACCCTGGGATCATGACCTGAGCCAAAGGCAGATGCTTAATGACTGAGCCACACAGGCGCCCATGATGGGAAGTAATTTTTTTTTTGTATTTTTTTTTATTCTTATGTTAATCCCCATACATTACATCATTAGTTTTAGATGAAGTGTTCCATGATTCATGGTTTGTGCATAACACCCAGTGCTCCATGCAGAATGTGCCCTCCTCAATACCCACCACCAGGCTAACCCATCCTCCCACCCCCCTCCCGTCTAGAACCCTCAGTTTGTTTTTCAGAGTCCATCATCTCTCGTGGTTCGTCTACCCCTCCGATTGATGGGAAGTAATTTTAAGTTAGCTGTATGGTGGGCTAAATGTGGCTGTGGAACTGGTGAGCCAAGTGGTGGGTCTCTGAGTTGAGAGATTTAAGTCTGGAATGGAAAACTACCTTTAACAGTTACTTTGGGATTGTGAATAAATCAGAGAGGATCTCCACCCAGGGCACAGATGGAACATGTCCCATGCTTCTGTCCCCAATGCAGGTCAACACAGAGCACAAACTAGGTGTTTTACACAAACCATCTCCAGGGAGTTTCTGAGACATAAGGGCCGTACTCTTTTGAGGTTGGAAACTCAGAAGCCACTGTGCAGGTACTGTTTCCTGTAAGTTGGGGAGTCAGAATCCATTTTATCAAAAGAGCATTCAAATTCAGTGTTACTGTTTTTGTTTTGTTTTGTTTTTTTACTTGGCTTCTAATTCTGCAAATTCTAAGGGAGGTATAGATTTTAGGTGATGGTGAAATTAATGAATATAGGGGTGCTTTCAGTAAAAGGGCAGAGGAGAGGAAAGAACTAGTCTTTGAATCCAATTCTAGAGGATTTGAGTTGCATTCCGCTGGAAAAAACTCCCCCATGCTTGAAATATGATTTATTGGGGGGGGGATTTCCTTTAGTGTCTCTGTAAGCAGCACTTTGGACTGATTTGGTATTCCATGTCCTAGAGTGGCATATATTCTCTGATATCTACTAGATTAAAACAAATATTCCATCAGGGTGGGTGGTATCCTCTGAGGTCAAAATAATCATAGCCTTAGTAATTACAGGCATTGTGTAAAGTCTCAGTGCATTCCAGGCATCTTTCCAGGTGCTTTATGTACATTAACCATGGTCCACCAGGCCCTGCGAGACAGGATTTAACAAACCTTCTTTACAGATGTAGAGCCTGAGGCCCACAGAACTTGCTAATGCACCCAGTTCAAAGAGCTAATAAGTGATAGGGCTAGGCCTAGACCCTTGGTCTGAATCTGTCCAGAGCTCACACTTTTCCACTCCTCCCAGCCTGATGCTGACCATCAATCACTTAATTCACTTTCTTCTACCACTCCAAAATGTATCTCAAGCCGAAAAAGGACTCTGTGACCAAAACATTGGATTGGAATACATAACCAGTGTGATAAGAATACCAAAATAAATCAGAGATATGAATAAAGGAGAGAACGAGACAGTGACAATATGATCATCTACATGGGTAAAATCAGATATCTTCCAAAGATCAGGGGTTCACAAAATCATCTGGCTCCATCCTTCTCTGTAAAAAGTAAATCTTTTATGTTGATGTTAATGGCGGGTATTCATCCTTTCTCATGGCTGAGTAATATTCCATTGTATATATGGACCACATCTTCTTTATCCATTCATCTGATGAAGGGCATCTCAGCTCCTTCCACAGTCTGGCTATTGTGGACATTGCTGCTATGAACATTGGGGTGCATGTGCCTCTTCTTTTTACTATATCTGTATCTTTGGGGTAAATACCCAGTAGTGCAATTGCTGGGTCATAGGTGAAATAAGTCAAGCAGAGAAAGACAATTATCATATGGTTTCACGTATATGTGGAACATAAGGAATAGCATGGAGGACATTAGGAGAAGGAAGGGAAAAATGAAGGGGGAGAAATCAGAGGGGGAGATGAACCATGAGAGACTATGGACTCCAGGAAACAAACTAAGGGTTTTGGAGGGAAGGGGGGTGGGGGGATGGGTTAGCCCGGTGATGGGTATTAAAGAGGGCACGTATTGCATGGAGCACTGGGTGTTATATGCAAACAATGAATCATGGAACACTACATCAAAAACTAGTGATGTACTGTGTGGTGACTAACATAACATAATAAAAAAAAAAAAAAGTAAATCTTTTAGAGCTATCCTAAGTGTGGCTGGTGAAGAGAAGGAATATATCAGCTTTTTTTTTTTCCCTCAGACTCCATAACACCTGTCCTGGGCTCCCTGATGTATGCTGCTCTTCCCTAATCTTACATCAGTCTTGGCACATGGACTCATTTTCTGCAATATTTGCAGTAGAGAAAGTGGTCGAGTGTTTGCACGTACACGTTGTTTCCCAGGAAGCCTTTAATCAAGAGACAGACCAAGATGAGGACCCCCCCATGAATGAGTACTGAGAATACAACTACCCCAACATACTGGGGTCATCCAAAGACCTAAGGATGGTGACCTTAGCTCAGTAGAAGGAGTCCCAGGCTCTGAAAGATATGACGAGGACAATGAATGAGAAATGATGGAAGGGCCCAGCCAGAACAGCAAGGTCCTATAGTATCACATCCCTGCTGTCTTTTGGGAGACACCCAAAGACCATGATCAGATGAGGATCACCCTCACTTCCAACTTGGAATTCTCAGGAAAGGAGGACCTACAGGTAAGATGAGCAGCTATAGGAGAGCACAGAATGAAGTTACATGATCGGTCATCTGTCAAGGTGAAGACCCAAGAGTAGCACCCACAGCATAAAAGGAGGTCCCACAACATCTCCTCTGCTGTCATCCCTGGGAAGCCCTGGGCAGAGCTGATTTCAGCCTGGAAAGTCTCAGGAAGGTGAGGGCCTCAGTTTAATGGAAGCTGCCTCAGTTTTGCAGAGGGAGGGACCTGGGCCCTAACAAGAATTCATGTGAAGACCATGAGTGTTATCAGGGGACCCCAAAGCAGAGGGGGCTAAATAGAATCCTGTACCATTCTTAGCCTTGGGGGACCCAGAAGAGCCCTGAGGAGTCCCCTCATTCTGCCCGGTAAGTCTCAGGGAAGGAATGGCCTTATCTAGCAGGATGGTCCCAGCTCTGCAGAGGGAGAAGTCTTGACCATAGCTAGAGTCAAGGTGTGGACCCTCAATGCAAGTGAATCTCTCCTGAAAGGGGGAGGTTCACAGAGCCCGCCCCCCCCTTATGAGGCTTGTGCGGCTCAGGAAGGAGTACCCCCGAGCGACAGGACCAGAGATTCCCCTCTAGGGACTCAGGAGGGTGGGGGCCCTGGGGGCTGGCAGCCCTGGGCCGGCAGGGGGAGGAGCCGCAAGCGCCGGGGTCCCACAGAGCCCCGCCCACCCCTGCGTTCAGCCCCCGGAGACCCCGGTGCCGCCCCCGGATGCGGATCCCCCGACTTCCGTTCTGGGCGGAAGCTCGACCCTTGGGCGCGGCGGTGCTTTGGACGGCGGACGGTGTCCCAGGACCGGTCTGAAGTCAAGGTGAGGACCCTGGGGGGGACTGAAGAGATTATTCCCCCCTCATAACAAAGTTGGCCCCCCTGAACCTGCCCCTTCGGTCGGGCTCTGGAAGGTCCCAGCGGACTGGCTGGCCGAGCAATCCCATCGTCCTCAGGGTGGCCTCAGGGAGGCAGGGCCTTTGTCTAAAGGCGGCGGCACCACTCCTGCTGGCAATCCTGAAACTCAGGAGTAATTTGGGCTGAGATAACCCCTCATTTCTGCCTAGGGGGTGATTCAGGTAGAGAAAGGCCTTTATCTAAAGGAGGCAGCCCCATGAGCAGAGGGAGGAGTTTGGGCCCTAAAGGAGTAAAGGTAGGACCGTCAGTGCTAATAAGGGCCCGTCTCCTCAAAATAGGGAACTGCACAGAACAGCACCCGGCTCTCATATCTGGGAGTCCCCAGGGGAGGTACCCAAATGTGCAGCACAGTGACTTCTAGCTACTCTGGGGCCTTTGCTTTAAGGCTTGTAGACTCAGGTAGATGGAGAAATCCCAAATCCTACCTGGAGTCGAGGTCAAAGTCCTGAATGAGGTCTGAGGGAGCCACTGCCTCCAGAACAGTGGGGTTGAAGGGTCTCGCCCCTGCTCTTAGCAGGCATAGGCCCCAGTCAGCTCACTCTGGCTGTCAACGTAGGTCCCAGAAATGCGAGGACTTTTGTCTAAGGGTCATGGCCTCAAATCAGCAGAGGGCAGAGCCCCAGGAAGGGTTTGGAGTCAAAGGGAAGATCCTGAGTAAGGAAATGGAGACCACTCAATACCCAATTGAAAGAGTAGCCTAGGGATGCCTGGGTGGCTCAGTTGGTGAAGCGTCTGCCTTGCGCTCAGGTTGTGATCCCGGGGTCCTGAGATCGAGTTCCGAATCGGGCTCCCTAGTCAGCGGGGAGTCTGCTTCTCCCTCTCTCTCTGCCTCTCCCTGCAACTCGCATTCTCACTCACTCTCCTCTCTCTCTCTCAAATCAATAATAAATAATCTTTAAAAAAAGAGTAGCCCATGATGCCACCCCTGCTGTTAGCCCTGGGAGTCCTGGGAGTACTCTCATTTCCTCCATTGGGTTCTCAGGAGACGGGCAGACCAAGAGCAAGAGCCCTGTTGGGGCTTAGTGCTGTGCCCTCACAGATATCTACAAAGGTGGCTTCTTAAAAGCCAGGGTGGTCTCTCCCTGCTGAGGTGCTCCCACTCTCATCTTCTCCGCTCTAGGTACCAGCATCTTCCACCCTCCTGTCCACTCTTGGGCCCGTTGCTCTGACCCAGTCATGCCTCGGGGCCAGAAGAGTAAGCTCCGTGCCCGTGAGAAACGCCGCCAGGCCCGAGGTGAGCCCCAGGGCCTTGGGGGTACTCAGGCCACTGCAGCAAAGGTTGAAGAGTCCCCCAAATCTCCTGTTTCTGGGGATACTCCCCCAAGTTCCCCTGCTGCTGGCACTTCCAAGGAGCCTCAGGGATCCCCAGCCACTAGCTCTCCTGCTGCAGGTGTTTCACGCCAGAGATCTAATGTAGGTGCCAAGAGCCAAGTTGAGAAAAATAAAAATTCCTCTCAGGCCTCAACTTCCCCTGAGAGTGCTCGCACAGATCTTCTAACCAGGAAGGTGGGGATGCTGATGCAGTTCCTGCTAGAAAAGCATACAATGAGGGAACCCATTAAAAAGGCAGACATGTTGAAGATGGTCAACAAAAGGCACAGGGAGCACTTCCCCGAGATCCTCAGGAGAGCCTCCGAGCACATGGAGCTGGTCTTTGGCCTAGAATTAAAGGAAGTCAAGCCAGGCGGTCACTCCTATGCCCTCGTCAGCAGCCTAGACCTCACCAGTGACGGCAGTGTGAGCAGCATCTCGGGCTTTCCTAAGAATGGGCTTCTCATGCCTCTTCTGAGTGTGATCTTCTTGAATGGCAACCGCGCCTCTGAGGAAGATATCTGGGGATTCCTGAATATTTTGGGCATCTACGATGGAAGGAGGCATTTAGTCTTTGGGGAGCCCAGGAAGCTCATCACCCAAGATTTGGTGCAGGAAAAGTACCTGGAGTACCGCCAGGTGGCCAACAGTGATCCTCCACGCTACGAGTTCCTGTGGGGCCCGAGGGCCCATGCTGAGACCAGCAAGATGAAAGTCCTAGAGTTTTTGGCCAAGGTTCATGATACCGTCCCCAGTGCCTTCCCATTCCATTATGAAGAGGCTCTGCGAGATGAGGAAGAGCGAGCCCGAGCCCAAGCCGCAGCCCAGGCTGCCTCTGTTACCAAGGCCGGTGCACGTTCCCGGGCCAAGTCCAGCCGCTCCTCTCGTCCCTAGACAGGGCTGAGGCAGAGTCTTCGCTTTGTTGTTGAGGAGGGCTGCCAGCGTTGAAGTAGTGAGAGGCTAAAGTGGGGTTGGTGAGGCCATAATATTTATCTTCTTTGTTTTCCTGTTATACATTGGTAGCTTACAAATATAGTTCCTTTCAATAGAATGTTTATTTAGATTCAGAATCCAAGTTTATAAATGACATGGATCACACATTGCTGTCAGATTTAAGAGTAAGAGTAGTTTTGGTGTTGTGTAATAAAGCCTGAAAATCCTTGCATCTTCTTTGGGTTCCAGAACAACATAATATGGCTTTGGAATAGGGACTTTTCTTGGAAATATGAAAGAACTAGCAAAAATATAACTGTGGTTTTAAAATGGAAACGAAGTAAAATGTAGTTAAATATTGGTTTGTTCTATTCATTTTTGTCTTTCTCTCTCTAAAATTCAAGGATATATACCTGAATGTCCTTAACTTATTCAAGAATGCAGATAAAATTAAATAGTAATAAGTTACGGGGCGCCTGGGTGGCTCAGTCGTTAAGCGTCTGCCTTCGGCTCAGGTCATGATCCCACGGTCCTGGGATCGAGCCCCGCATCGGGCTCCCTGCTCGGCGGGAAGCCTGCTTCTCTCTCTCCCACTCCCCCTGCTTGTGTTCCCTGTCTCGCTGTCTCTCTGTCAAATAAATAAATAAAATCTTTAAAAAAAATAGTAGTAAGTTACATTCCTTGCTCTGTGCCCCGTTTATTCTTATCATTAATTGAGCATCTGGTCTTTAGAAGGTTGTATGTTAGTAGTGATGATGCTAAGGATAAGACCCTGCACGTAGATTTTTAGAGTGTAAGAGCAGTTATATAAGGACGATGGTGTGATGAACTCCAACATGTAAGACAAGTTTGAAAAAAAGCAATGAGGAAGGGGGGCAAGTGAGAGCAGTGATGTATACATTCTCTGAAGCAGGACCCTTGGGGGTCTTCTCAGTGGCATAGCTGCCATTTAGGAAGACAGCACTGCAGTCTCGGACATCTCCTGGACAAAAAAAAAATTCTCAGAGATGAGGGTAGTTCCTTCTGGTGTGAAAAAAAGCATAATAACTACCATTTCTTAAAGACCCAATATTTGTCTGTCACTGTGCCAGGTGCTTCACATACATTACATATGTTCCAGCAGTCCTACAGGACAGGGCTTCTCTAACCCACTTGGCAAATGAAGAACTTGAAATAGTCTCAAGTTCACATAGCTGGTGAAGTGACAGAACCAGGGGTAGAGTCTGGTCTGGTTCCTCTGGAACCCATGCTGTTCCGCTCCTCGCAGCCTGAGGCCAACCTCGTGTCTCTTAATTACTTTCTCTTCTCACTATTCCATGATGGCTCTCAGGCAATGAAAGAAGGACCCTGTGGCCGAAGTACTAAAAGCAGGCCTAAAGAAGCAAGGTGCAAATGAAAATCAAGGACAAGTTGGGGATTGTCCATGGGTTCATTTTCCTAGGATCCTCCTGCCCCTCGCCCCAGGGTCCCTTGAGAGCTGGCGCTGCCCTGGTCCCAGCACTTGTGTGCAGTCCTGGCACTTTCCTGCATGACAGCTCCCTCCCCTGGGACTTTCCCAGTGGCCCTCATGACCAAACTGGGACCTGGCCCATTGGCCAGCTGTCCTGTGTGTCCTCCTCTGGAGGCTGCCCCTGCGCCTGGTGGCACAGAGAGCCACTATCCCCCGCCCTCCCCTGACTTAGAGCATTGCAATTCCTTGCAGCTCCCATCCCTCCCCCTGGCCCCCCTTTGACAGCAATTGCCCTTCTGTGTAATTCTGACAGTGAGGTTTAGACACCTCCTCACCTCCCCTAGGTGCCTCCATCACATTCTCAAAGTGTGTGTGTGTGTGTGTGTGTTTTGCCAAATCAGCTATTATGTAAACTCTGATTTGGCATGGAATCTATAAGGCCTTTGTTTATAACTCTGAGGCTGGAGAGGCCTTTTTTGGGAAACAACCTGATATTTGCAGTAGGATTTTAATGGAGTATCTTACTTGAAAGTGGCCACTGAATCTACGCACTGATGAGTGAGCTTAACTAAGTGGTCAAGAACCAAAGCCTCCCTCCTAAGTGGTAGATGAGGAAGGACTGAGGAAATCACTGCATAAGCAAATGTCTACTGAGGCTGAATTTCTAAAAACCCATCTTGGAGTCCTTAACAGACATGCTGACTCTCAATAAAAAGGAAAAAGTATTCACCATTCTTCCAGTGAATCTTGTCTATATCTGTCCCAGGGAAATGCTGTTTTTACAGAGTGTGTTTAATGGTACCTCTTCAGGTATTCAGGCGAGCTCAGTCACGTGGTGGGTAGCTATGATTTTGACCACGCGCCAAAAGGTAGGAGAAAATCCTCAGCCTACTGAGATTCTGCAGGTTATTGCAAATGGCCATGCAGAAAGGTGCTATTGAGGGACAAGGGGTGAGCTCTCCCTGCTAAGAATTACAGGGTCCTTTTGAAAATTAGATATAATCCTATATTTGAAAACTCTGTTACATTGTATGCAGTAGGAAAATTATTGATGAATTTCAGGGTAAATTTGGCCTTCTCAGAAACTCCTCCAAGAAGGGAACAGGTCGTTGTTAACCACCAATTGCGGGAGTTGCTCTTGATGGAGCACCTACAATGTGGGAGCAATTCCATCCCCAGTCCACTTATAGTTAGGAAGGGTCATATGACTAACCGCTACCACCGATACATGAGTAGAGGCATGTTTGTCACCTCCAGGCCAAGGCACATGACAGTCAGTGTGCTACTTCCGTGCTCTCTCTTCCATTCAGCAGCAAACATGGGGAGCCCATGTGAGATGATGGAGACAGCCTGGATCTCTGGGTCACCTGACAGCAGTGAGTTTCTGCCAAACCCCATCAGGTTTTATGTACATAAGAAAGTTCTTATTGTGTTAAGCCACTCAAATTTCAGGTTTTCTCTGTTGCATCAGTAACTTTATCTGAGGAATACACACCTGCTTATTTCTGTTGTTGGGCTCATTTAAACATTTGTCATTAGACAAAGCTTTGCATTAGACAAAGCTAATAGTAGTGTAATTCTTGTTACACAAAGTTCGAACACAGGTCAATCACAGTCCCCCCCTCCGCCCTTAGAAATTTCCTCCAAATTTCAACCCCATTTTCAAAAGTAACCACAATGAACAGTCTGGTGTGTGTCATTTTAAAGGTGATTTGAAGCTTTTTCATACATAGATGTACTGTAAAAATATAGATTTAGGCATACATAGCCAACAATGTGCATATTGTTCTGTAACTTGCTCTTATAACTCAATGAAGTAAATACAGGATCTTTCCATGACAGCTCATATAAGACCTGCCTCACTTTCTAAAAGTGCTACATCACCATTAAAAAAAGTTCTGGCCATCCCTGTCTCTGGTCCTGGCAAGCCACAGCGAGAAGCAGAGTTACCTTAGCCAGCCTGTAGATCCATGGGAACGAATGGCTGTTGGGTTAAGATGCTGAGTTTTGTGGCTGTCCGACAGGTACAAGAAGTTTACCAATAGGTACCTGAACGGTTAGTGGTTACAAGCCATTTATATTTGAATTTATCTTCTTTGTTTTCTATAGGTAGCATGTATTATTCTTAAAAATATTTTAAAAGGTTAAGAAAAACTTCAAAAAGCACGAGAAATTCCAATTGTAGATGTTAGGGAAACCTTTAAAATGGGAAAAATATGGAAGAAGGACTGGAGCACATTGGAAATGCTACATACTCAGAGCCTCGTTTTCATGCATATTTTATATTTTAAGTGATTTTTAAACTTAATTTTTCCAAGCTGAAACATTTTATAATTATTAGCCTCATAAGTTGTTTCATTTTTATTTATACAAATATTCGGAATCTATGATTAGATGTGTGCATTTGGGTCAGTTGGACTTCCATTATTATGCATCAATGCACTTTTGGAATTTGACCTTCTCCTTTTTCTTTTTTTTTTTTTTAAGATTTTATTTATTCATTTGAGAGAGAATGAGATAGAGAGAGCATGAGAGGGGGAGGGTCAGAGGGAGAAGCAGACTCCCTGCCGAGCAGGGAGCCCGATGCGGGACTCGATCCTGGGACTCCAGGATCATGACCTGAGCCGAAGGCAGTCGCTTAACCAACTGAGCCACCCAGGCGCCCCGACCTTCTCCTTTTTCAAATAAAATGCATATATACCTGGCACAGCTTCCTACTTGACTACTCTTGTGCCTTACGTAAAATGACATTTAGTTTGCTTCTCCTTGGTTAGAATCAATAATGTAAGTCGTATTTATGTCCTGAAATAATATGTATTTCTTGTCTAGCCACATTGTAGGTTAAATAGGCTGTAGGATCTGGCCTGGGAAACTAATCACCCTTTGTTATTTCTTTGCAGTCAGGAAAGGGCAGCCAGAATTCTAAACAATCAACTTTAGAACTAAATATATAGGATAAAAGTTGTTTAGAAATTGAGATGTCTTGCACTAAGGGGAAAATATTAATACTGCCCTTCTTGCAAAACAAATGGTTAACTCAGGCAAAGACAACTCAATCAGCATTTGTATCATCATCTCAAGATTTCGAGTCAAACTACGAGTATAATATATTGTAATGTGTATATGTGTTGTGATGTCAGTTTCCAGTTCAAGTTAACTCTACTGGCTTTATTAATCTGACAAACACATTTGTTAGCTAAACCCCAAAGACACTGCAGAATCTCTGTCAGACTGTTATAACTGAAACCCCCTAAAGTGTTTGGACTTACTGGCTTTAAATAATTCCACATCTGGAAATCTGTAGAAAGTTCTCTTTTCTGGGACTCTGGAACAGTGTGGATGACGCTGTTGTGACTCTTCTCTCCTCTGCCACGTGTGCTACTAGTAGCCTTGGCTTTTGTATTAGTCATGATAGGCTAGGCTATGTTAGAGGGTCTAATTAATCCTGAAATCTCAGTGGGATACAACAGAGGTATATTTCTCGAGGACGCTACATGTTCAGTGGGTATGG